ATTTTATGTTATTCTAATTGGTATAACATAAACAAAAAAGTAGTTTACTAAAATTTTGAAAGTAAGACACTAAAACTTTGTGTCATATATATAGTTCTTCTTGTCAAAAGTTCATTTAGGCCTATTCAATTACTTTAGACTTTCAGTTAACAAGCCTAAATATTAAATGTTAGGCCTATCACTTCTATGGTAGTTAACTTCACGCCAAACTTCATGATACACTATTAATATTTGGTGTTCTTATAATCCTTATGCAAATGCTGCTAAATTCACACAAAAAACAATGCTATCATAAAGGTTTGTACCCTGATTGAAACTTATAAAGTGAAAGAACTTTTGTAAGGTACATCACAGTTATATTTTACTCTCATTAAAAAATACCAAACCCATAACCCAGTATAGTCCTCTGAAAAGACACAAAGTTAACAAGATTGTGATACTTCAATGAGAAATAACAGAGAACTTTATATGTCATAATATAACTATAAAAGTTCAAAATATTTTTATACAATATATACCAATTCATTCCAAAACCACCTTTATATTGATGCTGACTTTTCTGTTAAAATCAGTTTTGAGACTTAAGTAGAATTACAAACATTATATAACCTTTTGAGCTAATATTTAGAATCTGAAGATTTAAACATATTACTTTTTTGGAGATGTTTTTTGTATAATGTATCATTTGTCACTTTGAACAAAACAAGTAAAGAGACCATACAACAAAATGCATTACCTTGAACTGATGCCAATTTACAAGTTGTTTTCTAAGCATCTCTCGAAATGTTACGCTGCTCCCTGCCTGAGCAAGGAGAAGAGCCAGTCTGTGGTCACTAGCATTCTGGGCAACTTCACATGCTTTACTTATCTGGAAGTTTGTCAACTGGCTGAAGATTGTTGCTAAATAATCATTTCCCTACAGAAAAACACATTCTGTTTTTTTTATTTCTTCTAAAACTTCATATAACATAGAATAATTAAACCATTCTTTCACTTAACTCTCATTCTGAGCAGTCCTGAGATTTTGACTAGGTACATAACAAATAACTACTACGAAACATTAAATAAATCATTCTATATATAATCTTACATTTTACAGATAAATTTGAGAAATGGAACAAGTATTGAATCACCACAATAAGACTAAAGTATAAAATATTATGAGTCTCATTTTTGATATTTCTATGTCTTGTTATTCTAAAGAGGATCAAAATTGGCAGCTTCAGTGTTAAATGTCACATAATATTATGAATCATATTTGGATATTATTTTTGCATTTGTTATTTTAATATCTTTTAATGTAAATGACATGTATTTCAGATAAGAACTGAGTGTTATAAACCACTCAACTTGATCAGTTTTGATATTAGCCCAAAGACAACTAGAAAGTATAGTTTAAATGCTATTATCTACTCTTTTTAATTGAGAACCTATATTATATCAATTAGAAGTAAAATGTTTAAAAAAACTTTTGTTTTAATTTGATGCCTCAACACGTACTGATGGAACTATATTTTGTAATGCTTATTATTATCCGCCTCACAAACCAAATGTATGCTACGTCTTTTAATGAAAAACTAAACAGAAAACACACACATCTATCTTCCTCTTGAACTTAAAACTGTACCTTTCATGCTAAGTAACAAAAATAAAATTCACATTTCTTAATATTTCATAAATTTTCATACTTACACAACTTTTGTCCTCCTTGATCTCAGTTTGTACAATTTCACTGTTTGTAGCAATTAACCATCGAGATAAGGCCTGTCTACGGGCTAGCCTATGCATGTAAGTATTGGGATCATCTGAAAATATTTATGGGTATTAATAAACACAGATACACAACATGTGAAGTACCAATAATTCTGGCAGATTAAAAACTGATACATTCAATATTATATTAACCAAAACAATTTATTTGGGAGTATACCATAAAAGAATGTCATAAGACAAGCCTGTTAAAATATTCCTCTAAGTGCTTAAAATAATAAGAACTGGCCACTTTTCTATTCAAACACTGTTATTCTACATGTTAAAGTAAAAACTTAGGCAATTAAAATTCATTCTAAAACCATATACTTATCAAATGGCAAGGAAATTTCACACAAAAGCATAATAAACTAGGAACAAATAAGAAATGGTTTATCATTAGAAGACAGCACTTAGTCCAACCTTTGATTAAAGAATCAAAGGTTGGACTAAGTGATACTAAAGAATTTTACAGAATAATGTAACTCGCTAAACTAGAAGGTAAGGAAACAGTTCACCTACAGTGATCAAAGATTAGTCTGTTTATTTAATCACACATGCCAGTTTCCTTCAATTTTTATCACCAAATTTGTTATAATTGCACTGAAGAAAAATATAATGTTTTTTTTTCTTCAAATTCTGATTCTTAGAGTTTCATGATTTCTTAATCCATTAAGAAAAAGTTAAAGCACAGTAAATTTTATAACAAATGTAAAATTACCAGACACTGCTTAAAATTTAAAATACTTATTATGCAACTAGGAATTTTAAGCTTTCTTTAAAATTACCACCATCATGGCTGGTTGTCAGTTGATAGTATTAAACTGATATTTCTGTTACTTATTTAGAAGTAATATATTTTATATTTTTCATTAAGACCTTTATTACTGTTCCATAACTTTCTTTTTTATTAGAGAACAAATCTACTCATTATTATTATTAATCAGTGTAAAAACTACTATTTCCCAGCAAAGTGCAAGGTTTATAAGCCAAGAAATATAAGTAAATTTGATTCCTTTTCTAAAAAAACAACTCTAAATCTTATAAATCTACTCTTACAGACAAAACATGTCCCTATATTAATTTTTGTTTTTGTTAGACTGTAAAGAAGTATACCTCTTGTTCAAGCAACGAACTCTGCTCAAGTGGTTCTACATCTGCCAACTAACATTGCTTATATTTTGTAAATTCCCACTATTCCTATAAAAAAAAACCCATAAAGAAACAAAAAAATACCATAAACTCACCTGATTCATGGTTAAAACCAGGAATATTACCCCACAAAGCAACTCCAAGTTTCCAAACATGGTCTGCTTGCTTAAATGTCTCAGAATCAGAATGGCTTAAGTCTATAAAAAATCAATTTTTGAATGAAAAACTGTAGAGCATAGGTCTTACAGATGGCATAGCACTCTGGTTAATTTAGCTTTATATCTAAAAACAATTGTTTTATCCTAAATTTTTTATGAATATAATGAAAAACCTGCAGGACTCTGCTCTTTAATGTGATTAAAATTCATATTTTTATCAACCTTATATAAAACATTATTCTAACTTAAAGATTTTAAAACAAAACGTTAATGTATGACTTAACTTATAATAATAATTCTTCTAACCAACAAATCTGTGTTTGCATTCAATTAATATTAGAAAAGTTCAGTTAAAGAACACTGCTTGCTACCATTAATAATATTTGAACTAACTACTCTTGTTCCAAACTTTAACAAAAAACAAATTATCTTTATACTATAAACATATGAACCACTTTTCTATAAATTTGCAATATGGCTTAAAGCTTTCTTTTACCATTTCTATCCAGTCTTTGTCATGAAACTATATATACACCTGGAAAAAAGTTAAGCACCCCCAAATATTTTTCAGGATTGCTTATT